CGCTTACGTGTGCAATAGGGCAAGTTCAAACGTTACACGGCTGACCAGGATCATCAATCTATTTTTCAAGTGAAAATACTCACTATAAAAAATGTTCTGTACGCGCGCTTAAAACACTCTGACGCACGGGTTCGACGTATGCCAGTATGACCGACGCGACATAGCGAATCATACGCTTTGATTGTACCTATGCTCTTAATGTAAAATTATTCATTTAATATCTAATAAACGTATAGTTCTTGCTGTCCGTCCTGACCATACGTTTTATGCGAAACGCCAGTTATATTATACAAAATAGTTACTACTATTTATTTTTCAACGTATTTCTAAATCGAAATGAATTGTCAGAGCAAGCTAATGTAGAAATAAAATTAGGTTACTACTAATTGACACCAGGTAGGTTGTTTTTAATCTGTTATTAAAATACGTAGAAGTAATTTGTAATTTGTCGACTGTGTAATTAAGTTTTCAGTCTGTTCAAGACAGTTTTCAAGCACGTCAACGATCACATACACACTTCTGTATTATCGATTTTGTGTCGTAACTAATTTAAAAGACGGAGAGTACTTGTAATACACACAAATTTCACCAGGGTGATGACGAATTTAATCTACGAGATACATAATATTCATTTTAAAATGGTCGTTTTATTCTATCGACAAGCTATATAGATAATATAATTAATTATTTTTCTAATTTAACTGTTTGGGATTGCAAAGTGGATGGAGTTCCGAAAAAAGACACCCTCCGATTGACATAAAATTATTAATATACACCTCTAATATGAACGATCTGAAAGCATGTTTAACATTTCAAACATACCAATCAAAAATCAAATATTAATATAGAAGTTCGGTACGATTAAGTTAGGTAACGATAATTTTTTTTATTCTTCGCCTCAGCCCATTCCGCCTCCATCTCTCCGGCCCTACTTTTCTTATAGGTTCATCCCCACAGCTCCCCCTTTCCATCTTACGACCAACAGAACCCTCGTCTAATTTCGAGCCGTTAAAAATCTTTCAGATATCATCATCTAGTTAATAACTGCAAAGCTATTGAATTTTACCATATAACAAAATTGAGTTTTCGTGGGGCAAATTCTAATTGAATTATGAGAACCAAAAATTGTACTATATCAATAAGGATGTCTTCCTCATTAATTCTATTTAATTATTGAAAACAACATTGCAAACAGTAGTACTTGTTGATTAGAATTAAGTTCGTCACCTACTACAAAATAATTTTCACTAATTTATGATTATCAGATTAACAATCGTCTATGAATACTTTCGATAAAAAATGACCGTATCGTATCAAAAGCAAAAAGATATTTACTGTTATCAGAGTGTTACTAACCTGTAGAAGCATATTATTTCCTCCCCCCGATGATGACTTGGGTGTTTCCGACGATCCTGAAGACATTGGCGTCCTGTTGGCCATTCCTCTTGGACTACCTCTGTTATTCTTACTTTCATCCTCATCGGGCTTATTTAGCAACTCTTTCAAAATGGTATTTTTATTCTTGTTGTCGTTATCGTTATTCGCTGTGTTGTTATCGTTAGAGTTGGGCGGTTTGGTCAGCAGATTTCTCAATCTTCCGGACTCTGCCATCATATGAGACGCTTCTTCTAACACGTTTGCTTTGGTATCCTTTTGTTCTTCAACGGGGTAATTGGGATCGGGAATAGGACTAAATGGGAACGTGCTACTGTAGGGGTTCGCGGGCGTGGGAGGATTAGGTACTGTAGTAGGGCTGGGTTGGGGAACGAATTGGGCAAGAGGACTTTGGGCAACGGTAGCTGCGGGACTGTACGCAGGAGCACTAGGAGGTCGCGGGGTTGGAGTCGATACAGAGGTAATGCTTTGTCTCGACTCAGGCCTTGTTTCGCCCCAAGTGGTCGAATCCAGGTCCCACGTGGAAGTTGGAAAGTCGAAGTTGAAGTCGTTATCTAACGGAAAAGTATTGAATGAGGAGCTGGTGCTGAAGGCAGAGTTGGCCGAAGTGCTAGCCGGATCTGAAGTTGAGGTGGTAGGTGGAGGGCCACTACGAGGAGTGGTACCGTTTACGACGCTCGTCATGAGTGGCCCTCCTACGCCACCATTGTTATTATTCGTACCGCCACCCGGATCCGAGGAATCTTGTTCTCTGTAAGAGGAAATTAAATTTGGCATAGCTACGACAACAGTTAGTGCCTCTTATAAATGAAAGATGACTAAGTTTTCATAATTTTCATGCCTTAAATTAAAGAAAAAATATTTTTTACATAAATTGTGATTTTCTTCATGAACGTAGGCCTTTACACAAACCTCTCCAAATCATTTAAATTATTATTATATTATGATAGACCGGAATCAAGACTACCAGACTAGTTAAGATGTGCGTGAAGAATACAGATTTCTTTTTAACATTTGTATCTATAACAAGTGTAAACAGAATTTTGTTAACAAATTGTTATGTTTTTTTAAATATCTCATACTCATAATGTAATACGGCGCGACGTAGTTATAAGCCGAATTTTGAAATGAACTGTGACTATCCTAATATTATGCCTAATATGAGCACCGCATGTAGGATAAACATATGCGACAATCAGAGATGTCATTTATTCCATAAATGACTTCTAATTCTTTAACTAAAGAGAGCCCAAAAAATTCTAAACTCTTTGGAAATGGATAATCTAAAATATTGAATCGATGTTGTTTTCCGGGTTCAATGTCATGGTCCATGGAAATCACCACTTATCATACATTTAGCAAAAAACTACGAAATTCTGTGAATAACGACAAAACAATATCGAATTGATATACGCCAGCTGTGTAAAATTAAAAACTACAAGATATTGTAGTGTGCTAATAAATGCCTATAATCCAAAATTCTTAGAAAACAATTCGAAAAACTTCACTTATTAAATAAACCCAAAGCTAAATAAACTATGGATACGATTTCTTTCTCTTATTACAATGTGTAGAAGATCGGAAACAAAATGATGTTTTGATGTAAAATGATTGATGTTGATTTTACATCAATAAAATTATTTGCAACCCTATTTTGGCTCTGATTTTTCACGCTAAACAAATAACAACAACAAAATAACAAATCAATAACTTATTTGCATTTTGTATTTGAATACTGTTAAATAACCATTCTGGCGACAATAAGTTCGTTTCTACAAGTAATTCGGAACTAGTTCTGAACAAATTCAGAACGCGTTTAATGTTCAGGAGTGAAGGCAGTAAAGTTCTGCTCTAGTTCTGAATTTCAATACTGGAACTCTTGATCTTTGGTACCAAGAACTGCCCGAAATCTTCCAGAACCGGTTCGATGTTACTTTTTTGGAAGGAAAGAATTGATCAGTGATAATTCTAAACTCTAAATCAATTCACAAAAGTCTAGAATGAAAAATTCGCAAATATAAATGAACGTCGAAGTTAAAAATATAAGTTTGTTTGGTGGATTATGTGAGATTAAAATTGTTGCGTTTTAACTGTACAAATTAAAACGCCATGTTAAAGTACAAATAGAAAGTTATTTTTTTAGTTCGGTGCAAAAGTTTAGTTTGTTCTGTTTAGTCGACCTTGTTTGTTGACGAAGTTTTTTTCTTTTTTAAACACTTAAGTGAAATTGTCTTCAGCATCGTTGCCACCCCCACCTTAGGTTCCTTACAGTAAGGGTCACTTCGTGACGGTACTTTACCGATTATTAAAAACATCTACTTTTATGGCATGAACCTTCAAACCTATCGGCAGGTACTTTCTTATATTGTCCCTGCATTTTCTAAGATCTCAACAATGGTTGCCATATGTCTTTTCAGGATGTTGGCATCCTTGGTTCGTAAATTTGAATTTTCTTGTGAGTCCTGTACTCCCTAGCAATAGTTTTATAATTCTAGGGCTACGCCGATGGTTTTGCATTTTTAATAATCTACGAGATACATAATATTCATTTTAAAATGGTCGTTTTATTCTATCGACAAGCTATATAGATAATATAATTAATTATTTTTCTAATTTAANAATAAATAATTCTACAGTTCCTGATGGTTTTTGTTGTTGCAAAAAAAGTTTTTGCAGGGGTTTTGAACAGATCCTGAAGAGTTGTATCAAAAATTCGTTTTGCGAGAACTTGATTGTTTAGATATTATTTGAAAATAGGGTCAATAGCGACCGATTCCAAGTTTGTGGCTTCAAAATATTTTAGCACCGAATTTAAATTATGCGCGAATACTTTCAGTGGTTCTTAGCAGAATTACCCCAGGTTGTGTATTTTTCAGTCTAGAAGTTAAACTTCCAACCCAGAAGTCCGGGGGGGCTAGCCATTTCTCTACCGATTATAGTCGCAGTTCCGGTCGAAAACAGTTACAATTCCAGGGGAGGTAATAGATACTCGGTCGAGGGTAGAATTTAGGAAAAATTGCTATAGAAACTCGATTCGTAAAGGAGTGATTTTTATGCTTACTCGCCAACTATCCTATTTTTGGATAAAAAATGACAAGCACACGAGAGTTGTAGGGTGGAAAAACATTTCCGGGGGTGTGAAATACTCGGTCGGGAATAGCTCTAGCAAAAACTGCTGTAGAAACTCGCAATTCCTACGAAAAAGTACATAATTTTAAACTCGTTACTCGACAAATAATCCNTCGGGACGGTTTTTCGCATTCGCACCGATTTTCCATACGCGACGTACTCCTTTCACATGTATATCGTATGGTCACAAAGTTGTGCTAAGAATCAGTTGTTTTTTAGTAATAATACAGGATGTATACTTCTTTTACTTTCTGTAGCGATGTGAGTTTGACCGGCGCAAAGTAGAAAAGAACAGCACTAGGCGAGAAAAGTAAGGAGACAACTCTCGGTCAAACTCTTAACCGGTGAGGAGCGTATAATCCGTACAGTACTGCATGGAAAAATTAATCATTTTATCCACTACAATTGCATTGCACAAATGTGCTGTTATTGGTAACATTTACTACTGAAAATATCAACGAGATGTTTATTTATATTTGAAGACATATTAAAGGCTTTAACGCTTGTTTTCGACTCGCACTACTATTCATGATTGAACAAAACTTTTGCCAGGTACTGTATGAAAAAGTATGTTTAATGAACAAGAGTCGAGTGAATAATGAGCTTTTTTCTCCCTACCTACGATTTTGACAGCGTGCATTTGAAGGGGCACATCGCTAGAGAAAGTAAATGAAGTATATCTACGTAATAAGATAGTTGCCGTAAATTGATCAAAAAAGAGAAATAAGAAACAAGAAGAGATTATGGATACATCCATTATCGTAGTTTGTAATATAGGGTAAAAAAGTTACCTACTAACAGGCTTTTCTTAACGAGAGTTAGAGTGTATCCATAATCTTTTCTTGTATCTCATTTCTCTTCTTCGTTTATCAGCCATGTTATGGTAACTATCTTATTGCATAGATACATATTTTATTATTATTAATCGAAACAACTAATTTTTATTGCATTTGGCAACATCGACTGGTTAGTTACTAACCATACGACATGCATGTGAAAGAAGGACGACGAATATGGACAATCGGCGCATAAAATCTGCGCTGACGGTCCGCCTTGATCGTACGCTCCATGTGAAACGAGTCTTAGAGTTAGAGCCGTTTCACACGGAGCGTATGTTTAAGACGGATCGTCAGCGCTGACCATACGTGCCAATTTTCTATATGCGACGTGCTGTTTTCACATGTACGTCGTACGTTCGTATAGTCAGTAACTGACCAGTTGTTGTTGCTTGTTGTTGCAATTTGTGCTGTCTGTTGCTCCATTTAAGATGTATCTAAATAATAAAATAATTTCCCTATTTTGACCGATAAAACGACGAAGAGAAAGCGAAACAAGAAGAGACTATTAGTGGGTACTTATGTTACCTTATTATTATAGGGTTGTTCGGAAAGTCATTTCGTTTTTTTTTGTGGAAATTAAAGACAGTTTTCGTATAATAAACAAATACTTTATTAAATTATATATTGACCGTTCTGGTCCAACACCTTTTGCCATCTTTCTGGTAGTAGCATAATTCCACGCTCATAAAATTTTTGGTCTTTGCTGGCAAAAAACTGATCGA